CACAGTCATTACAAAATTACCAGCTTCTAATGAAGCAGGCTGGCAATTAACTGCTGCCAGAAGAGCATTGGCACCACTCCGAGCATCATCTGCTGCCATGAACAGGGAACCAAATAACACCCCTGTACAGTGGTTTTGGGCAAAGGGTGACAGAAGGGAGATCACTGCAGGGCAGAGGAGACACCAACCCATCACTCCCAGGTGATCCTCTTCCTGCTTTCCTTTCTTGCACATCCAAGAGGAGCTGCAGAATATTCCTTCAGATGTACACAACTCTCAAACTATTTTTAATGAAAGTCTTTTCAGTGTGACACCAACACACACGTAGCTTTCAATTACATTTTAGCATTCCCAGTAGGAAGCAGCTCTTTATTGGGAAAAGTGATTTACAACAGTGCAGGATTATGGGTTTGGTCTTTGCGTTACAGGTATTCAAAGCCTGGTGAAAATAAAAACTGCTCAGCACATATTCTGCAGCTGAGCTGAGCCTTGTGCATGGGGAAGCATTTCGAAAGAAGTTAAGTGTTTGAAATAAAACCGTGTAGTCATCTGGTAGAACAGAGACATGAAATTGTTATTTATCAAGATGAAACTGGCATTTGGATAAAATTCTCCAGTGCTGTTAATAACTTCTGTTGACGAGGGAGTCGCAGCAGCAGCAATGAGGCAGCCGTCCCCTGAGCTCGGAGGAGCGGGATTTTTCACGGGCTGTGAGCAAGGAGAAGCGTGTGTCTTCAGTAATAACTTTCTGAGCACCTCCATCAGAACGGCCACCATGAATTTATCTTTCTCTTTTCTCTCCAAAAAGCCTTGTCAGTTTTGAATAATTTGCTGTGAGTAGCGGCTGCTGGAGTGCCACATGGCCACGCACGTCTCCAACACGAACTCCAGCTCCCTGAGCAGTTTTATCATAATGATTAAGTTTCTTAACTTAAATCAAGGATGTCTCTGGAGTTCCCTGCGATGATGTGAACTTAAGATAAACAATGAATGATGAATAGGCCAATTACTGAAACCTCCCTTACTGAAACTTTCAGTTAAGGCCGTGTATGGCTGGTTGGTAAGAGGAGGTGCTCGTCCTCTCATCTGACAAATGTTACAAAAAACAGGATGGTTTGAAGCAAAGACAGTTCTGTGTAATCAGGCACTGGCTAATGAGCAATTTTCTTTTATATGTGATTTTTCCCTTTCTCTGTTTTGCTGTCTGGGATGTTGGAAGTAAGAGAGGGAGCCGGCAGCCTGAGCCACATGCACGCAAATACTTCATTCTGGTACAAATCCCTGCCCTCTGCTCCCACAGCTGGTCCCAGTCCAAGGCACAAAAGTAGCAGGAGATGACCAAGGGCTGTGTAGTGGTACTACACACCTCCTGATGGTGAGGAAGCCTTTCCTGAGAGACCCACCCAAACCAGGGGAACAGCGTTTCCATAAGTCCACTGGCAGCTTGCTCAAGGCTTTGTGGGTACAACTGCAGAGGGGTACAGCCACCTTGGACCACAGCTGAGGATCAAAGGACAGGCACCTTATGCCATGAATGCATCACCTCAAACAAGCTGTCAGCCAGTACTCTGGATGTGTTTTGGGGCTTAAGCACCTAAAAAAGCAAAGCAAGAGGCATTTTTCCTCAGTGGAAAACAAGGAGAAGGGGCAAAGACCGATGAAGAGGGGGACACAGTGGGGTCCCTCAGGTGCTGAGGTTCTGTGTCACTCCCCTGGTTCTGTCCAGGAGCAGGTGCCACTACTGCCACCACACCACCCACCAGAGAGAGCAGCATCCCACGGTAAATGATATGATTTACTTACTGCCCATGGAATTGCCCAATTAATTCACTATCCACATTAATATTATGCCTCATTTTTAACTTTACTGTCTCCATCGTTCCAATTTAGTGCTGCTCAGAGATGCTGCCACTGACCTTAATGGGTTTTTCGTTATAAAAAAGAGCATGATATTAATCACAAGGGGGTTTCAGCTGGAGATTGCTGCCCTAGCCCCACTGCTTTTGGGAGCTGCTTTTTAGTGGTTTGGGGACCTGTTTCTGCCAGGCTTTTCGCCCCCACTCACACTGTGTACAATCCTTTGTGCTGTCCAGGAGGAATTTCTTGGTATAACATTTCCAGGCACAGAGATTTTATGCAGCAGTCAAGCTACGCTGCGGATATGATGGATTTTTCCAGGCAAATTGGAACAAGGAGTAGAAAACTGAAAGGATGCACCAGTCATAGCCAATGAGCCTCTTATTGTCCTGTATAAAAATCAAATGCCTTTTAATCATTTCAAATGTTCTTCTGGGTATCAATTAGTCACACATTAATATCAGTATTGCTTCTCTTCCTCAGTTTGCATCAGATTAAATTCTCCCCTGTCATATACACTTGTGCTCATTAGCTTCAAGGAAAATTAGTGATTGTTCCCTCTTCATTGGCATTGATGAGAGATTTTCATCAGAACTGCTTTTTATACAGGGAACCTGATTGTCATCTTAAAGAGATTGAGGGTTTTTCCCCCTAAATTGTTGTCTTTTCGTAAAAAAAGAAAAATACTTTTTTTTCCTCTAAACCCCTCAACTCTGAGCATTGGGGAATGGGGGGAGGGAAAAAACATTCTTGATGAGTGTCATCCTGCAGTTTCTGTCACTCTCTGCATCTCAACTGTCTGTCTCCTTGTCAGGATCCAGTGGCTGTCGCACACCCACAGCTGCTGAGCGGAGGACACTTGGGGTTGCACTGGGTTTTGCTGATGTCACCCCTCCCTGTTCAAGGCTGAGTATTCATAATGCTCTCTGTGGAGAACAGCAGTGTTGAGGGATCTCATTCTGCTCCCTGCCCTATATGGAGCTAGGATATGCAGTGCTGAGCTGGCTCTGGGGCTCCACATGCGTGCGTGTGCATGTGTATGTATGCACTGTATATGCCCACTCCCATAGCTCCCCATCCCTCCTGGGCAGCAGTGCCCAGCTTTGCAGGCTGCAGCAGAACTAGGTCTTCAGCCCAGCCACAGGATCCCCCCACCCCCTCCAGCACTCACCCCGGCTGCTCCATCCCCTGCACTCCAAGCGCTGGAAGGGACTGGTGATATTTATTGAGTTTTATTAACTCCCGGCCCTGGGAGGTTCTCACCTCTTCCAACTAATTCAGGCACCTGACTCCTGCTGGAGTTACAGTGATTGCCATTAAAAAGCTTGACATTTACCTTACAACAGTAATAAAATAATAATGCCTAATTTAGTTTACGAGTGGTATTTGCAGTGTTTCCTGTGCCTTGAGTGGGGGATATGGTGAAGATCCCTGCTCTGCTGATCAATTACGTCTGTTTAACGCCACTGCTGTAATTCTTTCCTGTAATCAGAACCATCTTTCAGTAGAGCTGTTCCAAAGTTTTCCTCTGAAACTCTAATTTTGACAAGAAAAGAAAATGTTTTCAAATACGTCAGTTTCCAGTGAATAACAAAAGCTTCTGAGATGGAATTTTCTAGTAAGAAGTGGAGACAGACAAACCTGGTGTCTGCACAGATTTGCTGCATTTAGATTTCCAAAATCTCTCAGATGTTTTCAAAGGCTGCCTGTGATTGATTTCCATTAAAAAGGGATTTTTTTCCTCCTCCAGATAACCTCATCAATATGATTCCCTTCTGTTATTGGCATCTCAAATATTAGACACCCCTGGTGTGTTTTACATCTGTGGCACTACCAAGGGGCTGTGGGGTGAGGAGCTCCTGCTGCTCCAGGGCCAGGGAGCCCAAACCCCTCTGCAGGGAGCAGATACACACCAGGGCACACTCCTCTGGCACACACAAGTGCACAATGCTCTCCCCAAGCTATTCAGCATCTCCACTTCTGTCCCTCTGGGATTTACCCCCAGGTTGCAGGTAGCAATGTCCCCAGTGCTTGCAAAGCCAGCCCTGGACCTGCTAAAAGCAATTTCTGTCTCCATTTCTCATCCTGAGCAAAACTTGATGTGGATTTTAATTTTTTCTGTGCAATTTTAATTAGTACATGATGCGCTCTGGGTTTTTATTAGAGTAAACAGCTTGGAAAAGGAGTTCCATGCCAGCCCTTCTACACCAGGGAGCCTCATCATGTTCAGACTAGAAACCTCACTCCGGATTTCTGAAAGCCTTTCTTGAGATGGGTTCATTTCCACGAAGAAACACTACGATTTCAACACAGGGAAATTTTTGAGCGTATTGAAAGAAAAAAAATTAGTCAGGAAATTCCTGGCTAGGCCGACTTTGGGGCAAGGCTCTGCACGAGGCGGGCGTGGGATGCCACAGCCCTCCACTGGGAGAGATCAGGCTTCACGGCACATGCACACTGCGCATGTGCTCACACGTGTGTACGTGCACACCCGTGTCCATGTCCACGCAAACACATTGCACACACACACACACACACACACCTGTGTGCACACACATGCGTGTACGTACACACCCATGCCCACCCGTGCCCGTGTGCCTGCACACACATGCTCGTACACACGTGCCCACATACACTTGGTCCCTCACCATTCCCATCTCCCCCCACCATGCCCGTGTCCCCCTGCCACGCAGTGACCCCACTGGCAGCTCCGGGGCTGCACCCACTGCAGAGCCCCACTCACGTGCACAAACAGAGGCAAGCAGCCCCGACTGCAGCAGTGCCCACGTCCCCAAGCTATGGGGGGACTGGCAGCATTTGCACAGCCTCGCACCTCCAGCCGTTGCTGCATGGGCAACAGGGTACGGAGGAAGCAGAGATTAAACCAAAAATGTGACCCTGGACGTATGTGACAGACACCGACCGCGCTGTGAGGCTTCATGTGGGCTCGTCTCCAGCAGCGTGGGAATGGCTTGTGCCCTGCAGACGGGAGCGCTGTGGGAGCGCCTGGGGCCCCGCAGGCTGTGGGGAAAGCTGGCTGCACCTCCATGGGGGCGGCCGTGACCCAGCCTTCCCACCGCGTGTGCAGACAGAGCCTAACTCCACCTCGGAGCGGGCTGGCGTCGTCGCACACCGAGGAGACCATGGGAGGGACGGCTCGGGAGAGCCCGGAGCACTGCCGCTTTCTGGACGTAAGTTCATGGCTTGCCTTGCCACCCCGCATCTCTGCAGCACCACAAATGTCTGATACGTGCGTGTCCTTCCTCCTCGAATCCTCGGCACACCCCCGGCTATCACTGTTTTGTCATTAACTAGGCAGAAGCAGCCAAGCCGCGGAACAAGAGCTGCCCCAGGTACCAGCTCTGTGGACTGCTCCTCGGTGTGCTGCTCCTTTCTCTTATTCTGATATTTTTTGGTGTCAAATACCTCTGGAACCCAACACCCAGAAAAGTAAGTAAAAACTCTTTGATACAGCATTTCAAAGCCTTGTTTCCTCAGACAGAGTTGTCCTCCTCCCCTTAACCCCTGAAACTTTTAACTACTCCCCAAAACCCAAGCAACTTCACAAAGTGCATTTTCTCAGACCACAAGTATTCATGGCACTTTTAAAAATCTCTGTATTATTCATAACTAGCTTTTACTTAATACAGGCTGAGTTTTTTCTCTGCCACTGCATTCTTTCCCCAGTTGACAATTACAGGGGTGGGAGCTACGCCACGAAGAGTTAAAGTTACTCTTATTTCACCGGCAGCAAATTTTATGACAAGTAAGAAAATATTTTCCATTTCATTTCAATTATCTTGCCAGAAACCGGTGGAAAAGTCATTATGCCACTGCATAGAGAGGAGAGAAAGCCAGGATGCAGTGGTGATTGATTGTCATGGATTATATTTCTTACTTTAATGTGTCTGCAATGTGAGGGGACGATGAGACAGATTAGCTTCTGGAGGAGCTCCTGCTAACTGGATTGGGCTTGTTTATTCTCAGCTCCAGACGGACACTGCTGTAAGTGCCGAGCATGTCGGGGTGACAGCAGGACTGTGCATCTCCCCTCCATCTCTGCCTGCTGCCACCCAACATCCTGACAATTCTACCAAAACTCTTTTTTTATCCTGTACCCCAAGTAAATCCCTTAACCTTGAAGCTAACAGCCTGCCTAGTACCCCTCATTCTCCTTTCCTTTGAATTTCCATGCTCATCCAGGAGGCCCCACTTTGCACTCTGGCGCCAGCAGGTTTTGACAACTCTCAAGAACGCTTACAGAATTCCCATGTGCAGCCAAGGCAGCCTGTTTCCCATGCTGGCAACTGCTCTCTCGTCCCTGCCCCACGCCAGAGCTGCTCCAGCCTAGTCAGGCTGCCCTCCTGCCGGGCAGAGGAAGCACCCTGCTTGCTGGAAACTTTGTCTTCTTATCAGCAAATAGAAATAAATACCCCCCAAAATAAAAGAAAAAGCAATAAAAGCCAGATGTGCCTCCAGGATCCTGCCAAGATGGTTATAAAGTCTCTACTGTTCCTAGAAAAACAGGGGTCATGCCAGCCATGAGGGGAAGAGGTTGTTAACCCCTGGAGGAGAGGATTTCCATTGGCAGCATAGAGACATTGCCAGTCTCAGAAAGCATATCCAGAACACCAGTCCTTGGCATCCTCACCGGCGGGCACTGGTGAAGGATGGAGTCCATCCAGCCCTCCCCAACACCTGATGGGCAGGCAAGTGGAGTGTGAGGTCACAGGAAAGCAGAGATGTTCCTGCAGTGGAGCTGCATGCTGACACTCCCAGTGTCCAGCACTGCTGTGTCCCAATGGCTGCAGGGCAATGTCTTCTCCAGCTGGCCCAGGAGCACTTGGGGAAAAGCAGGATGGGGGGAGGCTGGAACTTCCTAACACTCAAAAATATAAACCAAGGGGAATTAAACTCTTTAAAGAACAAGAAACGCTTCAAGCTCCCGTAATATAACCAGAGTGTGGGAAAAAAACTTGAAAGAAAAGTTGTCCCTCTGAGGGGTTGCCTTGGACTTGGCTGTGCCCCCTGCAAGGCAGCACCTGCACCAGCGGGCACAGCGGATGATGCAGCTAACAAGGGGTTTTCATCGCAGCCTCACAGGGGGGCGTATTTCAATGATTCACCAGAAAGTGTCATTTTTAGCCCTAGAAAATATCTCACAGCTCCCTGAATAGCACGGAGCTGGCAAAGCCCAAGTGGGTTAGCTGGACGCTGCACTGGCCAAAGTAATTCTTTGTAAATGGAGAGGCACTCGAAGGTAAGGTGCCACCTGGGATCCTGCCCTCCTAGAAATGATTCATGGCACCATGCACATTTTGTCAGTCAAAACTAGCAGCCTTACAGCCATTTTAGGCTTCAGACTGTTTTTACCATATCATAAAATCCATTGAGAGCTATATATCTTGTAAAAGCTTCTTGCAGACCAACAGGAGATGCTCATCACTGCCAAGGTGCATATCACTCCTCTAACCTTTAAGCAGGGGTGAAGGTACCTAGCAGTTCCCACAGCCGGTTCTGTGCCCAGGTGGATGCAAAATGGGTTATGCTGATGCTGGAAACATTGCTAAGAGACTTTGAAACCCCCAAATGGGAAGATATGTGCAGGAATCAGGAGACTGTGAAAGGGGGTTTTGGTTGGCACTGAAGGCAGAGCCCCTGCCCCACACCAGTGGGGCCACGATGCTCCTGCCCTGGCTCCATGGCCATGCCAGGGGATTAACAGGGCTTTCCCATCACCGTGCCTACATCCCTCCTCCCTGCCCAGTGGACTTCAGGGGTTTTGCACAAGCCCTTTGCTTCCACAGAGCACCGGGAAAACAAGACTCCCTGAGGCTCGCCAGCTCACGCTGCGCCAGCAGGATAATTTCTGTGCTTCAAATAGCATCTGCCACTACTCATCCTTTAAGGGTCAGGCATCCGCAGAGACTGGAGGGCTGCCGGGCTGGCTGAGTGCGGCGAGCACCTGCGAGGAGGGGAGGGCTGCTCCCTCCGGCGCTGCTCACCCCGGCTCCCCGTGGGGAGGAATGCCGCCGGGAAGCCGGCTGCTACGCCCCGAAGCTCTTCAGCAGCCCTCAAGGAGGTCTTTGATCCGCAGGCGATCCTTGATCTCCTCCAGGCAGAGAGAGGCTCTTACCTCTGCCTTTCCAGGAAAAACAGAAGGCGCAGAGATGGAGCGAGTGAGCTGAGGACACAGTGATGGAGTAAGCGAGACGGGGATGCAGTGATGGAGCAAGAGAGACAGGGAGACAGTGATGCAGCAAGCAAGGCAGGGAGGAGGGAAAATGAGGTCCCCTTGGGATCAGGACTTCAGTCCCACCTGGGATGTAACCAGGCTCATGCCACAGAAAGCACGAGCAAGAGCTGAGCTGTGGCAAAGCTCCTGGTGCAAGTGTGGGATGAGCATCTTTTCCTAGGTTTGACACATCCCAGGCTTGACAGACAACTACCCCTCATTCTGGCTGCATCTTGACCTTCTGCTGAGCCCTCGCACCAGGGAGCTGCCTCTCCTTGTGCTATCCAGAAGGTTGCTTTGGCTCAGAGCCGCCATGTGAGGAAGCAGCCGTGGCAGGATACCCAGCACCAACCTGTTCACCCACTGGGCAGCATGTGAAACTGGGAGGGGTGCTGAGCTGACCCCTGTGTGACTTTGGCCCTTACAGGTCTATGATATGGAACACACTTTCTTCAGCAATGGTGAGAAGAAGAAGATTGTGATGGAGATTGACCCCCTTGCCAGGACAGAGACCTTCACCAGCGGGAATGGCAGCGAGGAAATCCTGGAGATCCATGACTTCAAAAATGTGAGTGTGGCACTTTGTCCCTGAGACCCCCCAGTCTTGCAGCAGGACTGATGGGACCCCTTAGTGTGCTGTGGAATCACTGAAGCAAGTCCCAGGACTATTTGCTCCTGCATCAGGGAGAGAAATGCTCAAACTCTCTGAGGATACTCTCAAAGGAAAGGAGATGTATACCTACATAAGCTTCCACTGGTATTTATAGTAGCATGGTTCAGTTCCAACAAAATACATCTTCAAGCAAGATCTGGTTATTGGATTTACCCTTGCAAAGGAACACAATCATCATCAGTCTATCCAAGCCCGGTACATTCATCTGTCTGGAGAGCATTAAAACCTCATGACATTGTTGTAGGCTCTCTCTGAAACCTAATTAAAATTTGTAGGGAAATACCCTGTGCAGTGACATATGGCAAAATTTTGAGCTAATAGCCTAGCAGGAACAGGGGGATGAATGTTCATATAACCATAACGGTCAGATACTATTCTGCATATTTTTATTTATGATAATGAGAGCTCATGATAGTTATAAGGAGAAGGGGAGCGGAGTAAAATTTTATGACTACCTGCTTTAAAATATTTACAAAAATCCCAGTTCTCCCAAACCATAAAATGCAATATCGCTTAGGAGAACCTGTTAGTGCATCTTAGCACCACTGTGGAACAGAGGTGGCACAAAAACATCAACATCAAAAATATGACTAAGTCCTCCTCCAGCTGTACCTTCTGTACAATGGGTTATTCGTCCTCCTCTTTGCCCTGACTGCTTTTTGAGTGTTTGCTTGGATCCTGCAGGGAATAACCGGCATCTTCTTTGTGGGACTTCAAAAATGTTTCATCAAAACTCAGACTAAAGTCCTACCTGAGACGACAGAGGCCAAGATCCCTGAGCTTGAGGTAGGTGAATAAAACAGGGCACCTCTGTCCCCAGTGAAACTCACTCCTCTCCCTGGCATAGGAGAGTGGCTGCCATTCCTGCCACCCTCCCATCTGCGCCAGCCTTCCCAGAGAGGCTGCAATAAAGAAATAATGAGCTGTGATCGCTTCATAAAATGCTCTTATTTCAGAGGATTGCTTATAAAAACAAGTGAAAAGAGACGGGATTAGACAGCGACAGACAAAAACCTCTCAGCACAATACCGGAGATCAAGAACAATAATCCTGTTGTAGTCAAAAGGTCGCAAGGCAGCTCAGGATTAGCAGGCACCAAAAAGTCAATCAAATTGTTTTCTCGCAGGTTTGAGCCTCGTGTTCTCAAGCAGAATGAGGCAGAAGTAAGGGATTTAAAAGAGCAGCCACTTCTAAGAAATGTGATTTGAGAAAACTCTTGGTGTATAGACCTGAGAGGTGGGAAGCACCAGGCTGGGGCCACTTCCCTGCATGTACTTTCTTCCCACTTATGTACCTGGTTGCTTCCTGCATCAATTTATCTTTTGCCCACTGCATCCTGCTACAAGGAGCCTCACATTTTGCATGCTGCATGGAAAAAGGTGTTGGACTCCCTGTTTTAACCCCTCTCTGACCCCGGAGTGATGGCTCAGTCCTTTGATGGCAGTTGTCCCCTGGCCTTGTCCCCATCCCCAAGGCCCCTGTGGTGGCACAGCCTTCCTGCCTCCCCATTTGAGAGACGACGGGTGTTAGCAGATTGAATCCCCCCCAAGGATGCTGCCGCAGATAAAACACCAGCAGGACATGTGTTTGAAACGAAGCGTGGGCAGAAACATTTCCCTGAATCATGACCCAAATTCCCAGACACCGATTCTTTGATTATGCCCTAAGAAGCTAATAGATCTTTTCAGCTACCATCATAAAAGGGATATGACTTCCCAGGCTTTAGCAGAACATCGCCCCGGGTAGAGAGCTGAAATGTAAAACCCAGTGAGATAAATGTAGATTTAAGCTCTAGCCATCTCTTCTCAGAGCCTGCACGCTGCCAGGTGCTGCAAGCAGCACCGCCCCAACCCTGCAGCTTCTACCAGAGAATCCAAAAGCGACCTAGACTGGGTCAGGTTGTGTTGGCTCCTTCCTGTGTCTTCCCAAAGTCATAAGAAAAAAACTCTGTGAGAGAGATATACAGCTCCAGATGCCTTCTGAGAGAAAAATGCCTTTTGCCAGCTTGCTCTATGGGCTACCACCAACAACACAGACAACGTTGCCTTGGCAGAGAGCTCAGCGCAGATCCATCCAATAATCTTTATATATCTCCCTCCCTAAGTGCGTGCCAAAACACACCATGGACTAATGGAACGACAGAGACATGTGGTATAAATTACAGAATACAGCCGTGCAGAGAATTTCTGTGAGGAATAAATTAGTGTTCGATCGCAAAATCAGTAGCATAAGGAGAGAGGGATTAAGTACTAAGAGCAAAGCAGAGAGGAGATGTTTTAATCTTGTGTTTGAATGAGTTGGGGTGCTTCAGAAGGCTCTTCTGAATAGTGGGGACTGCACAGGAGAAGGCCTTGGGATGATCAGCTAGGAGAGGAGAGAGCATAGTGGTTTTGACTGAAGGTGGACAGGAAAAGATAAGGCTTGCTTTCTCCCCATGTGAGGACCAGCTGGGTACTTTGCGTGCACCCAGAGAGCACCATGAGCCAAGGCAGATAAAGTCCAGGTGCTCTCTGGGAGGGGAGAGGTGCCTCTGGGTAAGCCAAGGGAAGTAGAAGCAGCCAGTGGTGGGGAGAGGGTGTCTCCCATGTGGATGACCATGCCAGGGTCAAATCTTGCTCTTTTTCCAGGGAGAAGAAATCACCACCACCTACTTTGAGCAGTCTGTAGTCTGGGTGCCTGGGGAAAAGCCCATTCAGAACAAGGAATTCCTGAAGAGCTCCAAAATTTTTGACATCTGCAGAAATGTGACCATCTTCTGGATCCACCCCACACCAATAGCAGGTACAAGGAGCCATCTCCTCCCCAAGATGCTCTTGAACCCTCTCACCAGGAGCAGCTCTGCCATGTCCCCCACTGTGACATGGTGGGTTCACAGCCTTGCTGTACATCTCAGACACAAACACAGTGTTGCTCATGACCACAGGAGATCTCGGCCAGTGTAATAGCAGGGGCTGAAGTTTCTCTCTGCAAACTGCTTGTCTCTGCCAGCTCCCCACTGACCTGCACTTTGCAGAGTGGCCACCCTCCTCATAACAAGGGGAAAAAAACCCCAATCCTTTGTACCTGCAAAGAAACCAGCGCTGCTGGAAACTGGGACGCCTAAATTCTCGACACCGCATGAACATCAGAGTGTGAGCAGACATCTGCATCTAAATCACACGGCGGGGTTGCCACCTCCAGCTGCTCACTACACAGCCCTCACAGAGGTTGTGGCCTCTGAGATCTGCCGGTGTAATTACCCACTCTCTCTAACCCACTTCCAGCTGAATGAGCTAGTTTAAAACTCCCTACTGAGAAAACTCCCTCTGCTCTGCAGCCACAGAGCCACATCATGTCCCCAACAGGTACCGGCCACCCGTGGTCCTGAGGGCAGGTGGGTATCAGAGATCCTTGGTGCAGAGGGAGGCTGGTATCCTTGACTTGTCTCCTTTCTGCTCCCTCATCCCTGCTGTTAGACCCCGTCTGCAGCGGCACTTGTGTCCCAGGTCAGTGGGTCCAACTGGGTCACCAAGATGCATCCAATGCCTTTGCCGGAACAGCAGTGTCCTGAGGCTTCCTGGCATCTCCCCCCAGCAAAGGAAATTAGTGCTGCTGTGGGTCTTACCCAAGCTATGAGTGCTGTATCTACAAATCCACCTCACAGCAGCAGATCCCACCATGAGGATGTGCTTCTACACACCCACAGCCTCATGCAGGAGATGCCAGCAGCACCCACGGACACCTGTCACCCATGGGCATGGGGATGGAATGGGCCATTACCTCCTACAGCCCTTCTCCCAGGCTGGGTGAGAGCAGGAGGAAATGGAGTACTGATTTCCTGGTGGGTATTTTCTGTACCTTGGCACCAGATTCTGGTAGACACATTAGTTCTTGCTGCAGCTTTTGTCCCCCTGCTCTGTAGTTGTTGACAGCAACATTTGGGCTCTTCCTGTAGCTCCTGAGCTGGCCAACCTTGAAGGGGCAGAAGAAGAAGACCCTGAACTGCTCATAGACAACCAGAGCTGGCTGGATGGGGGGAGTGAGCACGAGGTGGAGAAGGATGCACAGCTGGGGCCCAAGCGCCGGGCACGACAGCTCACTGAGGAGGACCTACCCGTCAATGACTATGTGAGTGAGAGAGTTACACCCTGGGGCGCCCTGCCCATGGTCTGGGGTGCCCTGGCCACAACCCTGGGGTATCTTGGCCATGCTCCCACAGTGTCCTAGCTATGCTTCTTGGGATGTCCTGTCCATGCTGCTGGAATGCCCTGTCCATGCCTCTAGAGTGCCTTGTCCATGTTCCTGGGGTGCTCTGCCCATGCCTCTGGGGTGCCCTGCCCATGCCTCTGGGGTGCCCTGGCTGCCTTCCCAGGATGTCCTGTCCATGCCCCTGGGGCGCCTCAGCCACACACTGCCCTCACTGCGCTGACTCTGCCTCTTCCCCGCAGTCAGAGAATGGGCTGGAGTTCCATCCCCTGTGGGACGAGCGAGGATACTGCTGTGCCCAGTGCCGCCGTGCCAACCGCTACTGCCGGCGGGTCTGCGAGCCCCTCCTGGGCTACTACCCCTACCCCTACTGCTACCAGGGCGGGAGGGTCATCTGCCGGATCATCATGCCCTGCAACTGGTGGATTGCGCGGATGCTGGGCAGGGTGTAGCACCCACCACTCGGGTGCTGCCCCACACCCGCCCGCCGCACCACCACCCAGCCAGCTGCATCCTGACACAGCCAACACGCAGGTCACTACCTGTTTGACGTCCAGTGAGGTGCAAACCTGCCGACTGTGGCACCCTCACTGTGTGTATCCCTCGGCATCCTGCGCTGCTCCGGCGGGGCTGGGTGAGGCTGCGCTCGAGTGCGTTGCCGCCATGCTGAGCAGCAAGAGGCAAACAATAAACGTCTTGTATGAGTGATTGCAAAGAAAATGGAAAGTCTTTTAGTCTCAGTCTGATGCTTAATGGGTCTGAGAAGTGATCTAATTGCTTGGCTGCCTCGTCATGAGCATCCATAACTCAGGTACTGGGTCTGCCGGTGCTCACCTCACTGGGAACGTGCAGAGGTCCCTAATTTGCTCTCTGATGGCGCTGGTGGTTGTTCAGCATGTCCTGACCCCCTGTTCCAGCATGCTCTGATGTGTTCAGTAGTTGTTACTGACAGCTCAGGGGTGCCACCAGTCCCCTCTGGAGTTGTCTCAGCACAGGCAGAGGAAGGAGCTGGCACAAGGAGCTCCCCGAGGAACCAAGCATCCAAAGTGAGAGGGAGCAAAGGGTGTGGAGTACCCAAGGGTGACTAGCTGTCCCCAGCTCTGCTACCAAAACTTGGTGCTCGAGGGGAAAAGTAAGTCCTTGACACTGCAGCTGCCCTGAGCAGGACAGTGCCTGCAGCAGTGCTGAGGGCTAACATCAAAATCCCTGTGCACCCCTGTGCAGCCTTCCTCTGCCCACAGCCTGGGGGCTCACACCAGACCCAGGTTCAAGCTCTCATCCCAGGGAGCCAGCTGCTGCCAAGGAGCTCTGACATCCCGCAGGTATCACCAGGTGAAACCTTCTCTGTGTCACCAAAGAATCACACACTGTCATGGCCAGAACGTACATACAGAGAAGGGAGGAGAGGTCAGAGCCAGACCCTCCTCATCTTCCTGCATCTCCCATGGGGACATAAGCATATTTTCAGAGCACCTCTCCAAATTAAAGTGAGTTGTCTGCGTAGGTGCTATTCAACCAGGTAAGATCCACATGCTCTGATGGCCACAGTGCTGTCACTGCCTATGAGCAGGCTGAAGAAGCCTCCACACTCCCCAGGTTGGCACAATCCATGCTGGTTTTCCTGCAGCAGCTCGGAAACCTCCAGGCTCCCCATGTCACCCTCTGCTGGCACTATCCTTGTCCACCTGGCATCACCTCGGCCAGCTGCCCTGGGAAGGGATTTGCCAGTGGAGGCAGAGGCACAGACCAGGGCAGGGCAAGGTCCTTCCCTCTGTGCAGGCTTTCAGATGAGGATGGGTTTATCCAAATATGGTTCTGCTTCTCACGTGTCCTTTCCCTGTCTCCATCCATCCGTTAATTGCCATCAGCCAATCTCCAGCCCAGTTTCTACACTCTGACGCACTCTGCCTTGCCATCCCAAGCCAGGAGGCTTTCAGCCTGCCAGGAGCTGACAACAGTCTTGATTTACTCACCTGGGTTAAGTGCAACACAAGGATTTTGGGTGTTCCCCTCCAGGTTCCTCCGTCAGCAGGGAGGCTGACCTGTAGCGGGTGCTTGTCTGCACTGTGGGGTGGCTGGGCTGGGACAGCTCACCCAGCACCAAGGCAGCATTTGCCACAGTGGTGACACTGACAAAGGGCCACCACTGCTACCCATGGCTTCACTGCTCTGTTTACACCTGCCTCCTCTCCAGGAACAGGACAGGCAGCCCAGCATCCAGCCAGACACAGCCCATTTGAGTTCAGTGCTTAAGACTCAAAAATCCCCCAAGCTTGGCAGAGGGGAACTTCACTACATCACTGCAGCATCAGGCTTGACAAGGCAAAGGCTTGCTGATCAAACAGCCACAAGATGAGCAGTAACAAAGGAACGTAAAAGCTTAAATCCACATTTCTTGCCCTGGGGAGCAGTTGGGGATTGCCCAGTACTGCCCTGCCCTTTGCTCCAAGGCAGTGGCCAGCCAAGGATGCACGTGTTTGCACTGGGCTGAACTTACCCACCTGGCTCCTGGGCTGGGATGCTCCAGGCCCTCTGCTTCAGCACTGTTACACAACCTCTGTTATGAAGAAAATTCAATTACAGAAGTTATTTGCAAGCACAAGTGCACTAGTGCACGTTGGAGGAATGTGAACTGCAACGGTCAGAGGTTCCTGCCTGGCCCAGGGTGAGCGGATCACCCCCAGCAGGGCTTGCTGCTCTTCAAGCAGAGGAATTTCTAGGACATGAAAGAAAAGTCAAGGAGGTTTCATAGAGTAAAATATCTTAATATTTATTGTGTCTCAGGACAAAAGAGTTCTACTCAATACATAAAATGAGTTGAAGCAGCATATAATACTGACAGTCAAGTCACAGCTGACTCGGTGCAAGGACACCTACCAAGGTAAAGGCACCAGGAGCTACATCACCAAATCTCACTACAGCTTACAAAGAATCACTACAGCCTGTACTTCAAGAAGTACAACTATAAAAAAATATATAAAACCCAGGGTAGGGATGAGAGAGAGCTTGGCAACAAGCCAAGACCTGGCTGAGTCAAGGCTTAAAACCTGTGTTTTAATAGGGCAACAGCCTCATCTGTTGAGGGGAGGGGATCTCAAAGGGGCTGCCAGAGGGGAGGGGAAGCATCGCTTTCCCAATGGAGGCACTGAAGATGAGCACTGTGAGTCCCACGAGGCCACCAGCAGGGTTGGTTCAACATGGCACAGCACTCTGCACTGCCAAGGAAAGAGCTGCAGTGCCCGGAGGAACGTGCTGGCTGTAACCACCACAGCTACACTAATTATCCCAGGCGGTGGCACAGCAGAGTAGTGTCAGGACAAGTCCCTGAGCACACCAGGACAGCTGGTGCACTCGTTTCTATGAGCTAGTCGAGAAGAAGATCAGTCAGTTCAAAGCAAGATTTCACAATGTGGCATCCAGAGGAAAACTGAAGGTGGAGGTATCCTCCCCAGCCATGGAGAGCATTCCCTGCAAGACACAACAGCAAAGGGATAACAGACAGGATGGATTTATACACAGCTTAAAATAACATAGGAGACACGGTCTTGCAGGTTGCCTCTAAGCACATGCCCCACGCGTGGTGCCCCTATCCCAGGGGCAACCAGGCAGCAGCCAGAGATACAGAGACAGCCCACTAAGCTCACAGACATACCCAGCCACAGGCACAGCGTGCTGGGGGCCAGCTACACCATCTCATACTGATTGTTCGTGATGTACCGGGACAGGCAGCAGGCGAGAATGATGCCAATCAACTGAAAAAGAGAAAGAAATCCCATGTATCAGAGGTAGCCGAAACCAGGATGAGGTGTTCTGAGGAGAAAAACCTGACAAATTGCTCCAGAGTTATATAAAATCCAAGGATGGACATTGGTGTTTACGAACCACAACAGGGGCTGCTGTGCCCTGCTTTGGAATCACTGAAAGTGGCTGAAGCAGAGGATCCTGGCTGGCACCAGCCAAACAAGCTCCTCACAAGAGACGCTCCACATCCCATCCCGTTACATTTTGCTTCATGAAGCATCTACTGTTTTATGGTAATTGTGGAGATTACACAGATATCAGAAGAGTCACAGCCAATTACACAGCCACCAGAGAATGGCAGTACTTCTCCCTGTTACAAGGGCAGTGGGGAAACAAGGCTGCTGTTCTCACATCAGCATCTGAAGGACACGGTACTGTTATCACAACATGCTCTGTTATCACAACACAGCCCCCCAGCACCCATGCAGACATTCAGGGACAGGTCCTGCATGAGCCTGGCCTCCACAAGTGGAGTTAGAGGCAAATCAGCACAATGAGTCCCTGTCAGCCACACAGCCAGCAGGGCTTGCTGAAGGAATAATAAAAGCTAGGAACTGGTCATAATCCTCAAGCCTGCCATCAGCTGAGATACTTTTGCAGCTGGGAGCGTGTGTGAGTTCACCATTTGTGTGTCGGCCACATCTCAGTGACACCACAGCAAGCACAGCCCAACCAAGGAGGAGCATGGGGCCAGTGGCTGGGCACAGCAGAGCAGCTATATCTCCCAGGCTCTCCCAAAGCACTTGGTAGCACAAGCTGCAGCCAAGGGCTGTCAGCTCATGCCTCTCCCCCAGTTCACTCCGTCCGGTACGGAAAACACACGGCAACACACTCATTACAGCAGAGTATCTTGGCAGGGTTCCTTCTCCCCACGCCAGCACCGGCAGCCAGTGGTCCTGGCCAGCAGTGCCTTGATGCTCATGTTATGGCCTCTGTGTGCTGGGTCAAGGGGAGGGTGAATTCAAGCCCCTCCAAAGCCAAGGCCAGCTGCTTAGCACCGAGAGCCCAGCAAGCTCCCACAATCCAGCTAAAGGAGGGACGGCTGCACATCCTGCAGCTCCCGCAGCAGTGCATAGGAAAACCCTCAGCACGTTGGGAAACCCCACCGCAGCGTCAGTGTGCCCAACACCCAGCCCGGCAGAGCTGGGGGCAGGGGCCTCTCGTTTCCTGCCGGGATAAAGCCTGCCGGAGCAGGGCTGGCGAGCAGGCTGCTGCTGCGGCTCCCGCAGGAAGTGTCCTGCAGGATAAAGTAAAGGAGAGGCTGCGGAGCAGGAGGGAGGGGACACAATGGTCAGGTAGAGTGGCACGTGGGGTGTCAGCCACCAGCACAAGTGGTGCCCCATGGGTACTCACAGGGACCCTCTCACACAGAAACAATGCCAAAACTCCTCCCTGATAACAAGAGAGGTTGGCGGGTAGGAGAAGAAAGGGCGCAAATTTGATCCCTGACAAGAGCAGGCACAGGGAGTTTGTTTGTCTCTGTTTGGTTTTCCTTAAGTCAGTGGTTTTGGAGGGGAGCTCTTCCCAAATAACCTGGGCTCATGGAAAGAGAACTGGTGCTTCAGCCCTGGGTGTAAGAGACTCAAGCCTGCACGGCGGTGAGATTAAACCCAAGGGGAATCTGCGGAATGGCTGCTCCTCCCTGACTGAAACTGGCCGTGCCTTTTGTACACATCAGACTTTGAACTGAAATTAAATACCTCCAGAGACACACTAGCTTCATTCTGCACTCCTCCTGAGCCAGGAAAAGGAGATTTACCTGGAAACATGCGATGCCAAAGGAGATTCCAGCCACAATGCTCATTTTGGACTCCATAGTTGACATTACCAGGAAAAAACAACCCTGCAGAGGAGGGAAAGCAAGAATATGGGTCCAGTGCTTTTCACTCCCAGGAGTACAAAGCAGCACCTCCCCAGAGCACCCACAGCTCCAGGTGAAGATGCTCCTATGCAGGTAGATCTGGGGTTCTGGCTGCCCTCGTGCTGCCTGACCTCAGCAAAACAATTTCCCTATCAGTGCTACCCCAGACAGACTCTCATCCCAGACACTTCAAGAGGAGCATGGCCCTTGGGCTGCTCCCAGCAGGAGCACTGAGTTGAGCAAGGTGACTCATCAGAGGAACATGCCTTGCATCATCCAACCATCCCTGCCGGATGAGGTCACCTGTGCTCACCACTCAGTCAGGACTTTGCACCAATGGGACGTGTCACCATTACTGAAATAAACTTTACTGGGAAACTACTTCCTTACTCACCTGTTCTCCAAAACACACAGCCCCAAGTGCCAGTGCTTAGGTCCAGCTGGTCCCTGACCTCCAAGGAAGGAGTGGGGGGACCTGAGACAGTAGAGAGGACTCCAAACCCTTCCCCTACTTGCACTCCAGGGGAGTCTCTGGGCCACAGACCAGCTGCATTGATAGAACAGTTCTCCTTTCAAGCCTCCCAGGGACAGACTAGCCCTTCTCCACCTGCCCATCCCTGCCTCCAGGACTGGCAGCGGGATTTTTCTGAGCTTAACTTACATCCACAAACACTTTCAGCTTGGCCTTGTTTGGGTCTTTCAGATCTTCCTCTGAGCAGTCGTTTGGCCTCTTGCAACAGCTCTGGGGGATGCCCTTCTGGCTGAAGTATTCAGTCCTCTCCCAGTCCGAGTAGTTCTGCACTCCACAGCACTGCAGCTGGAGGGGGAAGCACATTTGGGGAGCATGGTCACACCAGGGTACTGATCCCCTAGTCCCACCACCACTCCCATGGGGTCACAGGGAACTTGCTTCTCCAGGAACTGCAGGATCTCATCCAGCATCTTTGAGATGGTGCACATATGACAGTGACACTGATGCTGTGGGGGGTCCCAGGGGATACCCTGGGGCGAGGGGAGCATTCCCACCTGATGCCAGCCAGACACCAGCCTGGAGTACTCACCGTCCTCTGGATGGTGTCGACGGCCTCGCTGTGCCGATCTGCAGTCACGTTGTAGTCCTTCAAGGCCAGGTTCAGGTTACTTTCAAAGTTTGTCTTAATCTGCAGGAGAAAGGTCTCAGTGGTGGTGCCGTGCTCTCCCACACTCTGGGACCCACATCCCCGTGTTAGTCACCGCTCCATGATGGCAGGAATGACTCCGGCTGTGGCCAGCAGACACTTCCCAGCCACCAGGCAATTAGAGGCTGTATTAAAGGGCAGCTGGATGCACTGTGGCAGCAGGGATGCTGCATGTAATAACAAGGACCTGCGCAGTGCCAACTCCCCCCCAAGCAGGCTGCTCTGTGGCGCAGGAACCCTCTGAGGAGCTTTAATTACTGAAATTATTGCAGAAGATAGATCAGAGCCAGAAATTACAGTCCAGGGCTACTCTGCCAGTTCTGGTGGAGGGGCAGTGTGCTGGGCTGGGCTGATCCTGCACCTAGGCTCATCCTTCTGGGTCCTTACAGGGACCAAGCTCCTCTTTGGGCTGTTTTAATACCATTTCTGCTAAGCTAAGCACCACTCCCAGCAGCACCTCTGTCCCTCCAGCGACACCTGCAACTGCACTTGGGTTAAGACAGCATCAAACTCACTATGAGATGGCAGCGGCTACCCAGACTCACCTCGTGCCTGAAGACAAAACCCACGACAGCGGCCACCAGGACGATGAGGAAGATGAGGGACAGGAGCATGGCATACTGCGGGCAGAAAGGGTGGGATGGGAGGGGGTGGATTGGATGGGGTAGGACGGGATGGGATGGGGTAAAATGGGATGGGATGGGGTAAAATGGGATGGGATGGGATAGGATGGGACGGAACGGGGCTGGAACAGGGGGAGTTTAAACAGGATTGGATGTGGTAGGGATGGGGTTTGAACAGGGCAGATTGGGATGGGAGGGGATAGGGATGGGGTAGGGAAGGATGGGACGTTTCGGGATGGATCAGGACAGGTCAGGATGGATTAGGAGAGGATGGGACCCCATCCCGCCCTGTCTGGGGCCACCCACCAGCTTGAGCATCCAGGTGCTGCCGCGGCAGGTGGCAAAGCAGCCAAAGGTGCCCAGGAGGACAACGACGGTGCCGGCGCCCACCAGGACGAAGGGGACGTTGGTGGCCTTCTCGTCCAGCAGGGAGAAGTAGACGGCCAGGCTCACCCTGCCCCAGACGCCCACGGCCAGCAGCACAATGCCCGACACCTGGGGAGAGGGGGCACAGCTGCCGTGGCTACCGACTGTCACGACAGAGCGGCGCGGCCGCGACTTGTCGCGGGGTGTTGGGCGGGGCGGGGCGGGCGCTCACCCAGAAGATGAAGGTGTAGGTGAGCAGGACGCTCTTGAGGCGGTGATCACCGGCCTTCGTCTTTGCAGCCGCCGCGACGTGGCGACGCCATGGCCGACAACCGGGCGACTGCCGGGACCGGGCCGGGGCGGGGCCGCTGGGGGACACGCCCCGACACCGCCCCTGGGCGGGGCCGGTCCCGCCCCACCCTCCGGGAGGGGCCGAGCGCTCACGGAAAGAGCGCCGAGCGCGTAGGAAGAGCGGAGCTCCTGCCCCTCGGTAGATACCGGTGTCACCATCCCGAGCGGTTCACCCTTGTCCGGTCCGCCCTCTGCTTGCCCCATGTCACTCCCTGCCCGTTTCCTGCCGTTCCCTGCCCGGTGCCGCCCGCTGTCTGGCCCGTGTCACCCCTGTCCAGTGCCAACCCCTGTCCAGTGTCACCCCCTGCCTGTTTCCTGCCATCCCCTGCCCGGTGCCCGTCCCGTATTACCCCTCCGGTGCAACGCCCTGTCCTGTGTCACCCCCTTCTTGGTGCCACCCGCTGTCCGGTGTCGCCCTCTGCCTGTCCAGTGTCACCCCCTGCCTGTTCCACTGCCACGCTCTGTCCGGCTGCACGGCCTGCGCCATTAACCGTCCGCCTGCCCGCCTCGTACCACTCCCTGCCACCTCCCACCTGCCCCGTGCCACCCTGTGCCACCCCCTGCCCGATCCATGCCACCATTTCTTGCCTCCCCGGTGCCACCTCCTGCCTGCGCCGTGACACCCTCCGCCTCCCCGAGCCACCTTCTGCCCGATGCCAAACAGTTCCTGCTTTCCTGTCCCAGCGCCTGCCGATGCAGCCCCAGCCGCAGAGGGGGGTCCCTCCTGTCCAGGTGTCCAACAGGAGAGCCACCTCGTGGCCCAGCACATGGCAGTACCACCGTGCCAACAAGCAACGGGCTTCCAGCCCTTCGTGGAGTGAGCACCCCCATCCCCTCCCAGAGATGTCGCCGGGCTGCAGGGGGCCGTGGGCTCCCCACAATCGGCAGCAGCAGCCCCTCCCGGCAGCCCTCTCCTGCTCAGGACAGTGTTATTAATCAGTGCGCTCACTGGCCTGGCCGCTACATAATTAGCCCATTGAGGCAGCACGTCCTCCCCCCTTCACCACCCCACGCCAATGTTCCTACCTGTCTGTGCCAGGCTCACCCCTCGTTTTTCCTTGCCCATGCAGTCCCGTGTTCCAGAGCCCAAATCCCAGGTGGCTCCAGCTCCCGCCTGACCCCGACCCCGTGGGATGTGGGGCGGTGGGTCCTAACGAAGGCATTCGTTACCTCTGCCTCGCAGGGGCTGAACTTCATCTGGAAAACAGACCCCAGCTGGAAGCGCTTGCCTCATGAGCAGTTTCAGAGCCCGCCGTCTGCAGCGGAGTCTCTCCCTCCCTACTGGAAAGAGGTGGGAAAAGGGTCTTGGCTCCTTCGGTTTTGTGCTTGTCCCCCCCATTCCCGGAGCCCGGCAGGGCTGACAGAGGCTTGGCTTGGCTCTCTCCTGTGTTTAAACAGGCTCCTGGCTCTTCTGCTTGCAAAGAAAAACCTCTTACAACTTTTTAAAGCCTCGGAGGAGCAGGAGGAGCATTGGAAAAAAGGCAATCCTAGGACTTGTAATTTTTTACAATCTCACTCATTTTGCCTGACTCACGGGGCTTTTGATGTTGAGACGTCCGGCAGCCAAGGGGGAAAGTAAGTTGCTCAGCACAGCCAAGCACAGCCAGGCCAGGAGAGGACAGGCGTCTGTGTGGTGCCAGGGCGACGCAGGGGGCCGTCGTCTGCTTCCAGGCCCGCTTCTCCATTCCTCGTCAGGGCTCGCGGCTGCCCTGGACCCAGCACGGCAGGTGGGCTGCCCGGCCCCCGGACCCCCAGCATGGCGCAGGAGACGGCCCCCGTCCTCCTGGTTGTCCTCGCCAGGCTGGTGTCATCCACGTGGCACGAAGGTGAGTGCGGGCACAGCGGGGCTCCCGGGAATGGCAGGCTGCAGGGTCCCTCTCCCGCCGGGGGCTCGTGCTGGGGAGGGAGGGAGAGAGGGAGGGTGTTCGAGCGATGCCGGGAGAGCATCAGTGCCTGGGGGTACTGGGTGCTTGCAGGGGTGCACTGAGGGGTGCAGAGAGGAACTGAGTAGGTGCTGGGAGGCATCCAGAGAGGAGCAGAAAACCAGCCTCTCCATCACAGCCCTGCCTGCAGGAGCGCAGCTTCTCCCTGACTCTCTGCTCCCACGGGAGCCATCGGCGAGCAGATGTTTGCCTGGATGGAGCACTCAATCCCAACCACCCCACGGCTGGGCAGCTGGATCAAGGATTGCAAGCCTTGTTTGGGGGGTTTCCCCCTTCCGTGCTTCCATCCCCTCCCCTGGCCGTGCTGCCAGCATGCCCGGCTGGGGATGCTCCTGCCCGGTGCAGCCGGGGCTGTGAGCTGACCCCGGGTGAGAAGGAAAAGGCAACACCTCCATAAAAAGGGAACATCCCATTAAATGGCACGTTTGCCTGTGGGGGCACAGTGCACGCCGTCCCCAGGGCCCCAGGGGGGAGCTTGGCATATGCCCCTGGGAAACAGCCCTTCTCACCAGATCACCAACACATCCCCACGGCCAGTCCCGCGGGTACCATCACTGGGCTCGCCCCCTGCTCCTCTGCTCTCTAAGGCACCACGGCAATGTGGAAAGGGCATCAGGACAAAAGGCTTGTGAACAATGAGTGGGCGACTTGTGGGAAGCAGTAAGGAGTCACTCTGTAGTAAAGTTCGCGTCTGAAAGATTTGTAATGGAGTTTCCTCCCCGTGATGGCTGGGCTGCTGCTTGGATTGGTCCCGGCGGATATCCCCTTCCCAAAACACAGGACAGGGAGAAGAGGAGATGATTGGGTGCAGCCACAGTAGGGCTGCCGCTTCTCCTGGGGTCCTTTCCCAGGCTGAGCATCCCCACCATGCCAGAGGGGGAGCGCGGTGGGGTGGGCTGGCGGCGAGGAGGGGGCAGCGCTGGCGGGGGCCAGAGGAAACGCGGCGGAAACGTGAGCTCAGTGCTCGGGAATGCCGCGGCCGGCCGAGGCGCCGAGGGGCCGCGGGTAAGGAAGCCAGACCTCTCCCCCTGCACGACTCTCTCATCACTGGCGTGTCCCTTGCCCATGAAGACACAGTGTGGGCTAGAGGGTGGCCCACAAGGATGGCGCAAGGCTGTCTTCACCCCATCCGGGGGGCCCCTCTGCACAGCATGGATGGCGTGAGGCCAGCAGCTCCAGCCAAGCCTCTCCAGTAGCTTCATCCTTCCTTGAAGCACAGGCAAGGGGTTGCATCCCCTCCAGCCCCCTGAAGGGGGCTGGGCAGCGTGCTTCTCATCCCTTGCTTTGGCCAGGGGATGGGCAGGAGAGAGCAGCCTTCTTCCTTCCCTTGGCATGCCCCGTGGCAGGAACGGGGCCATGGGAGTGTGTGGAAGGACTTCCCAGCAGCACGAAGCTGGGGGTTGGTGCCAGCCCACTCTGTGCCAGCACCCGTTTCCTGCCATAACCACAGTTGCTTCTGCTGCTGTTTAGTCTGTGGCTGGTGCCAGCACAAACCATGTCACTGGGGACTGTGCTCGCAGTGTGCCTGGCTTAACCCTTGACAGCAGCCCCAAGGATATAGGACAGGGTCTGCCTGGAGATGGAATTGCTTGTTGGGGATGTTTTGCAGCCATGAACCACCCCACAGCCCCCTTGTCTCTTTCCTTCTCCCCAGGGTCTGGCTACTACACAGAGAGTCACACCAATGAGGTCTATGCAGAAGAAACGCCCCCTGAGCCTGCCCTGGATTACCGTCGAGGTAGTGGCACCCAACCCGTCCTTTGGGTCCTCATGGGGAAACTGAGACACAGTGGGGGCCTCCCTCACCTTCCTCCTCTCCCACAGTGCCCCAGTGGTGTGCCACACTCAACATCCACCGCGGAGATGCCACCTGCTACTCGCCCCGGGGCAGCTCCTACCGCAGCAGCCTGGGGACACGCTGCCGAGCTGAGCTGCACCCGCGGGTACCGGCTGGTGGGTTCCAGCATGGTCCAGTGCCTGCCCAACCGCCACTGGTCTGGGATGGCGTACTGCCGACGTGAGTGTGCCCAGCTCTTGCCTTGCCAGCACCTCCACAGGCCCCCTCAGAGGCCAGTCCTGGGTGCTCTGCCCACTCACATGGCTGGCTGCCACTTCCCTCCCCTCTTTGCTCTCTCCATCCCAGAAATCCGGTGCCACGTGCTGCCAGCAGTGCTGCGGGGCTCCTATGTGTGCTCAGCGGGAGTGCAGATGGATTCCCGCTGTGACTACACCTGCCTGCCTGGCTACCAGCTGGAGGGCGACCGGAGCCGCATCTGCATGGAGGACGGGCGCTGGAGTGGGACCGAGCCAATCTGTGTAGGTAAATTTTCAACCCACGATTCTGAGGCACACAGGGGCCTGTCACCTTCCATCCCTGGGGTGTCACCCCACATCCAAAATGGGTATTGCCAGGTGCCAGCTCTTGCACCTCCCCATCATGGGACCCCTGGTCCCTCTGCTCCCCGTGGTGCCATTAGCCCTGAAGCGCAGGCACCAGCCCAGGATTGGGGCACCCAGTGCTGGCTTTACAGCAGTTCCCAATGGCTCCAGAGTGCCTGGCTATGTGCAGCATCCCTGTGGTGCTTCAGTGCTGGGGTTGGTGCCTGGCTCTTGTAGCCCAGCCCCAGCATCTACAGGTTCCCCAACACCCTCTCCTCCCCGTGGGCAGACCTGGAGCCTCCCAAGATCCGCTGTCCGGACTCCCGGGAGCGGATAGCCGAGCCAGGCAAGCTGACTGCAACTGTCTACTGGGACCCTCCTCGCGTGAAGGACTCTGCTGACGGCGTCATCAAGAGGTGAGGGTGGAGGTGCCGCAGGCACTGCCAGCAAGGGCTGGAGGCCATGGGGCCCTGATGGAGAAACCCGTCTGCTGGGTTCAGGGTGATGCTGCGGGGCCCAGAGCCAGGCTCTGAATTCCCTGAAGGAGAGCATGTGATCCGCTACACCGCCCACGACCAGGCGTACAACCGAGCCAGCTGCAAGTTCAGTGTCCGTGTCCAAGGCAAGTGGGCTCCCCTGGGGCTCCCAGCTGTCTCTCCCATGGCTTCAGGCTCCACACCCCGTGGCTAGGGCTGTGCTCCATTACCCCCAGCTCTCATCCAGCTCCCCCCTTCTCAGTGAGGCGCTGCCCTGTCCTGAAGCCTCCGCAGAACGGGTACATCTCCTGCACCTCTGACGGCAACAACTACGGTGCCACCTGCGAGTACCTGTGTGATGGGGGCTACGAGCGCCAGGGCACCTCTCTACGGGTCTGCCAGTCCACCCAGCAGTGGACGGGCTCCCAGCCCCTCTGCACACGTAAGTGGTGTGGAAAAGGCAGGACCTGCCCATGGCAATGCCTGGCAGTTTGAGGGGATGCTGCCCAGCAGGGTGAAGGGGTGATGGGGGGCACAATGGCACCTCCCCACACCCTTGTCTTGCCCCAGCCATGCAGATCAACACAGCTGTGAACTCAGCTGCCAGCCTGCTGGATCAGTTCAACGAGAAACGCCGCCTCCTCGTCATCTCGGCCCCCGACCCCTCTAACCGCTACTACAAGATGCAG